CAGTTTCAATTACTCATTTGTAAACTCCTTAAACTGTTGTTCAACAAACAAGTTTACTCTTTCAATAGCCAATAAAGCATCTTGACTTGAAATAGGAGATGTCTCTTCAATGTCTTCTCCATCCTGATTTTCTTCATTAAAATTCGACATATAAATTATTTCTTCCTCATTCAGCAAATCATCATCATCATCATCACTTTTTTTCATTTCATCAATACCGTATTCTCTGGAATATAAGCACCACTCAAATATAAGCACCAGTATGAATTTGCAATGAAAAAAACAAAAAAATAGAAAAATAAATATAAGCACCACATATATTTCTATTTTTATATAATAAATAAAAAATAAGAAATTTTTTTATTTTGACTATTCTTTCCCAGAGTCACCAGACTCCTCCTCTTCTAATTCATCTAATTCATTAGCTGAATCATCATTTCTATTTAATATTTCACGTTCATCTTCCTCATTTCCCATATAAATGTAACACAAATTATCTGAAATAAAATGTCTTGAATATAAGCACCACCCACAGTTTTGTTAACCAAAACGTGTTAAAATGGTGGTGCTTATATTCCAGAGAATACGGTACTTTTAGTTCATTACATCATACCTTATATCATTTATTCCAAATAATTATTTTATTTTTTTTTGTTGGATTATTTTTATTTTGCAATTACGGGGAGTAATAGTAATTTTTATTAAGATTTGGAGAGATCTGCATTATATTTCAGATCACGTGAATCCGTTATAGGCAAGTGTTAATTTATAAGTCATATCTGATATGAAGTGATTTTCGGATACAATCCGTTATACGTATATAGTAAAAAGTTTAATTAATAATATCCATTATAGAAAGAGATTTCAAATAATAAAAAATCAGGACCAAACTTTTAATCCATTATAGAGAAAGATCCGTTATAGAAGGATCCAGTGTATATAGACCGCAGTCACATTTTTTTGTTAATTTGAAAAATTCCCTACTACTAATTAATCATAGTAAAAAAATGACCTGTATTAGTATAGTCACCAACACTATAGTCACCAAAATTCTCGAAATTTCACTATGGTCCCAAGGTGTGCAACTATATAGGAGTCTGACTATATATGATATCCTAAGTGGCAGAAAATTTAATACATTTTTCTTTTGGATTTCTTTGATCCCATTAAAAAGTATCAAAAATTATTTTATTAAAGGAGATATGGCAAAAACAATTCACCTTTCCCAAGGCATGTTGGAAGGATTTTTTGGAACAATTAGAGATTCCTCACAAGAATATGGGATATGCAATGAATAAATATCAAATTACTGCAATAATGACTTCATAACAATTTTTTTTAATATAAAAAAGATATATCAAAAAAAAGAAGAGCTTATTACATAAAAAAATTTTTTTTAAAACAAATACCATCAACAAATTAACCAATTTCCAGATAGATGTAGTTGTAGAATTAGAGATTATAGTGGAAGAAAGGGATAAATCTTCAACAATAAAGACACATTCCTTAGAATCCATTTACTTTCTTTATATATATACATACATATATACATACATACAATACACACATACACTACATACATACATAACATACATACATACATACATACATACATACATACATACATACATACATACATACATACATATATATGAATTATATAACAATATTATTATTTATTATTTGTAGATTATATTTAGTTAATTAGTAGGAGGTTTTTTTCTTTCTTTAAAAAAACCTCAAAAAAAAATCAAAATTCTTACCAATAATAAAACCATTTTTACTGAATTATTAATGGCTATAGTATTTATGGGAGCAATACACAGTCAAATGAAGAAGCTATTGAATATAATAGACTACAACAATTGCATTTATCATTTTTTGGATTGATCTTATTAGCAATTTGATTGTGATATTAAAACAATTATCAATAATTCTTTACCAAAAAGGTAAATTGTAGTCATCTATATGGGCATCTAGTATAGAAAGCAGAATAAACAATTATTTGTGTTCATTATTTGGTTCTTGATCTTCAAGAAAGAATACATAACATATTGTAGGATAGTTTTTAATTAAAACAATAATAGATCAAATTTTTGTAATCAATAAAGAAATTACACCAATATTGACTCAAATTATATATCTAAAGAAATCATCACACTGGATCCAGCTGAAAATTACAAATTCAAATATATTTCAAGTTGGGTATTATACAAGTTAATATGTGTTGATATGAAAATCAATGCATTCAAAAAACATTAAAAATAGTAATAAGAAAATACAAAAAAAAACCAAATTTATCACCAAATCCAATTTGGCACTCAATCAATTTTGTATTTGGTAGAACTTGAGGATATTTTTCAAGCAACCAATTGATTTAGTTTAATGCCTTGGGGTTACTACAGCATATAAATGTAAAATTTTTCTAATACTCTTATTATTGAACATTTAAAGGCTAACACACCATTTAAAGAAGAAATGTTGGCAAAAAATATGATGTTTTAATTAAAACTTTAGTAAATGAATTAAATGTATTGATTGGTGTTAAAATAATTACTTTTGGTGTAACTAGAAAAAAAATTTTTCCTTTTGAAAACATCAATGAAATAAAACTTTAGACATAAAAAACTTCACTACTACTTCTCTTTCACCTTGAAAACCAAAATTTTTTTGGCTCAAAAAGTGTTTACAAAGTAAAAACGTTTGTTTTTGTGAAATCTTAGTTGTAACTATACATGAAGTCAAAACTATTTTGACCATTTGCAGATCTGGTTGAAATAGGGGTAGAAACTGATTTTTACTATGTAGTTGCCTCAAGTCGAAACATTTCGACTTCATGTATAGTTGTAACATTCATATTGAACCCCTTCCCCTAGGTCTCACGAATGCCATGTAACGTGATACGCGCCCTTTGAGTTCTCATTGATCCATATAATCAAACGTTGAAATTCCGTTGTGTAACTAGTCCAAAACTATTTCCGAAACTATTTCCAAAAATTAAAAATTGATTGGTGTGTACTGTTACACCCTGCATTCCCGCACTGAATTTTTCAACACTGGTATAACCTATCAAATAATTTGTATTAATTTAATGTCACGTGCGGTGTATAAAATCGATACAAATCCGTATGCAATTTCCATATTGAGTTGGCTCCACATACTCTTGTATATTGGTCACGTGGATACGTTGTGGTAAGATTAATAGTAGAACTACATTTAAATCCGTCATAACAAGAAATCAGCTGTGGCAAGGTCTGCTGTAGTGAAAATTTGCATATTAATTATATTAATAAAATTTGGCAAACATACGTTTTTGTGCAATCTTGATTTAAAAGCGCTCCCGACTTTTATCCATGTATTACGTGCAGATAATCTTTATTGAAGATCATCATGTTTCTCCGGTGGCTAAAAAGATTGTTCGCATAAGGTGAAAAATTATGCAGTGTTAGTGTAGGTAATTTTAAAAATTCCCGGTGCCGCAGTAAATGTAACATACATAATAAAATTCAATTATATTTGCAAATATTATGGTGTACATAAACAAACACACATCATATGTCTGTTCAGATCTTTGGTTTTTTCTTTTTCATGAAAAAATATGACGATCATTAATTAATCAAATCATTACAAGTGTGAATTTGGTAGTAAACGCATATTTAGTAATTAATAATCAGATTTGAAAATTAACGATAATAATAATTATTATTTATTATTTATTATTTATTACAATTATGATTATGATTCAAAATAAAGGTTACACTTAAAGAAAATAAACTTTGACGAAAAAGAGATTTATATTAAATTTGTGTGCTCTCATTTAATGTACAAATTCATAACAAATTAATTACATTTACGCACACGAAAAATATTACAATACGTAAATGTACATTTCAAGATTTAAAATTTTTTGACGATTTTGATGATTTGATCAGCTGAAAATAAATAAGGAACAAATCGTAAAATTTCTGAATTCATAACTCTAATTAATATATGTATATATAGTATGTAATAATAATTTGATTTTTAAATTTGTAAACAAATCAATAGCGTCAATTGTAATGTAACAACATTGTAAAATATATTTGTTTTTGAGATCCTCAATGCATTCTGACATCATCGAAATTACTTAATTTGGAAATCTCAAAAAACATAGGAATGTAACACTAGTCCGTAAAATTTTAAATTCTTTTCCTTTTTTTTATTATAATGTTCTATTACCCAGTTCTCGATTATATAATTGTGTGCTATAAGACGAAAAGTCATTCACATCATAGGGTTTTTACTCGTTAATAATTCTTGTAATAAGATAATGGAAATAAGAAATTATATCCCAAATAAAACAAACAAACAACAAACCTAATCGGTTGATTGATTGGATAATGATTAAATTAAATAAATAAATAAAACCGAAATTTTTGTTTCTAATTGTATTAATAAAAAAGGAATCTGATTTACCAAAAAGATATAGTTGACCCTCGAAGTTCCCGATCTACCATATCGGTTAGCTTGTCTGTTTACATGTTTACATGATGATATCACAAAAATTTTCGTCAAGTTCGTCAACTAAATTTGTAAAATCTATAAAAACCCATCTGATTCCTCTTTTTTTCAAATCTTCATCCAGTTCTTCAAGATTTTTAAAATTTTATAATAATTATTTATTTAATTATTTTCTTTCTCGCAACTATTATTCTTTCATAATAATAATTTTTGATTTAATTTTTTGATCAACTATTCGTAAAGAAATTTAAATTGTTAATACATTCCTTTTATAATCTTTTAAAGATTTATAGATTTTTGTTCATTTACCTTACTATCTATCCCACATTATATATATATATATATATAAAATGTATATGATTAAAAGATATTTTCTGCTTTTACCGCCAGAAACCATCCATATAATTTTAAGTTTTTTGGTTGTAAAAGACCGTCAGAATTTATCAAAAACATCCCGTACTCTTCGTCGTTACGTACACACGTTTCATTTTGGGATTTCCATGCCATTTTGGGAAGGAATCGCCCTCAATGATAACTTAAATTTAGATTATAGAACCGGTGTCTATATTGATGATAAAATATATCTTGTTGATCTTACTCTGCAAAAACCTGTCTGTTGGATCTTCGATACTTCCCAACAAGATTTAGCAACATTTTTGTCTGAGCCAATGAATGTTAAAAACGATTATCATCCTGTTCAATATCCTGCAACTACCGTTGTGGGTGATATGATATATATTTTTGGTGGGGAATGCCTCAGGACAGGCCAACCAACCAATCACTTGTATATATTAAATACAAAAACCATGTCTTTGTGTAAGAAGCCAGAAAATGGCCAAATCCCTATTCCAAGGTCAATGCCTTCTTTAGACGCTTTGAATGCAAGCCAATTAGCGCTATTTGGAGGTCATGGGACATACAATGGTAATTATTGATTACAATCATCATGATTCATTTACTTTTATAATTATTTACGTGTTAATATTTATTTTGATTATTTACTTTTAACATTAAAAAAAGGTACATCATATGATCTGAAAGACATTCATATCTATGATATATCAAGTAATAGTTGGAACGAAATTTCAACCGGTTCCAACGTCCCTTATGCTCGATCGCTACATAGTACATGCTCTCTAAATGAAAAGCTCTATATCTATGGCGGCAAACATATCTCTTCGATATCTTCTGAGTCGGTAATACATGATGATGATGATACTTGGATTTTCGACAAATCTAACGACGCTTGGCAAAAATACATTGCACCAATCTCTGCAAATTTGCCTCTTCCTCTTCAATGGATTCGAACCAAGGGAGTAGGACTGGGAAAAAGATCTGGAGCAGCATTGTTTTTTCTACGGAATAGGTTAGTAATTTTGGGTGGTAAAGAAAAGAATGATTTCCGTACTCTTAACGAAGAAAATGCTTGGGAATTCATGAAAATACTATGCCCAAGTAAAAATGTATGGAGACAAGTAAGAATTCAAGGAATGCCAAAACTCGAATGTTTGGCACTCCAAGTGGCTGTAAAAAATGATAAAAATATCATTTTAATTATCGGCAAAAACCTAAATGGCGAACTAATTATAGGACATATAAGAGATTAAATTATTTATAAAAAAAAAAATAGAAAACATTATTTTTTATTTTTATAGAATTATTTCTAGAATTATTTATAGAATCATATAAGCTTTAAGTTTTAAAAAAGATTTTTCATAAAAAATTATATGTAATAGTAGTAGCGATTTTTTAATTAGATCGGATTAGATTGAATTAGATTGAAATTATTTATTTATGATATAGAATTTTTTTAACGTTAAAATAAAACACTATGAGGCAATATATCGATCGATGATGAGTGTTCCATTTCTTTTCTATATTTTATGACGTAAAAACCTCCGTAATTTATGAAACAATGATCGTCATTTCGTCATCTTCCTTCATATTGTTGCATTACTATTACGGGCAAATTTGAATTATATAGAACCCTCATTTGACATAATTTTCCATGAAAAAGAAACTTGCCCTATTTTGGTCAGTGATTGTCGAATATAATCGTCAAAAATCTATTTTTACATTAATAATAGTTATAAATAAATAATTATATTTCCTCCTTTGGAAATTTCGTCATAAGACATTTTTGTCAGTTGAAAAAGATCGTCAGGCATAATTTAGGGTAGATTATTATGAAAGCAATTGGGTTAGAATTTTAATTGCCACATGGACCCGTTTTTAAACGTGTAAGTGACGTGAAGATGACATGTTACACGATCATATTAATATAAGATGGAGTAAGATCTGGAAAATTTGCTGAAAATCCGTCCAAATTTGATAATAGTTTTCCTGTTATTATTTTTTATATTGTGACAAAACAGTCTGGGCAGTATTAAAATTTTTGTTTTTATTGTGTCGATGATGTTTAAGTAATAGTAATGAGTTGTTTTGAAAATCTTGGGTTGACACAGTAAACTTGTTCAACTTTGAAGTTAATTCCTCCATAACATCATAAATGAAATCATAGAAAGATCCTTTTTGGAGAAAATCAATATGGCAAGTGACAAGGTCCATCCATCTATGGTCAAATTTATTTATTGGTAATATTCCATGTATATATTTAATTCTTATTAATATTTTTAACTATAAGTTCATAAATAGTAAAATAGAAATGCAGGGCCTGCGCTAAAAACCTAGATACATTTAACAACTACTAAAGTGATAACTAAGAGAAAATTTTGCAGAAATCATTTAAGAATTGTGAATACTTTAAAGCAGTATTATCTTCTGATGCTTTGAGTGCCGCTCTTTGTAAAATAGAATAGGGAGAAGATGATGATGACGATGCTCTATAGTTGATTTTTAATTTAAAATTAGTTATTCAAATTATTTATTTTATAAACAGTTGGTCGATCATGATCTATAGCAAGTTCAACTAAGTCTGCTAGCAGTAAGTTTCAGAAGTTAAAATTTTCAAATGTGCAGCACTTGCATCCAATATCGAATCAGACCCAAAGAGGATACCATTCAATTTTATATGCCAATGGCGATGCGATCGTTCAAAGTTAAAACAAAGGTTTTCCGGGAATTATCTGTTGAACCACATAAACAATGTTGGAAGTTTAGCATTGAGAGCAACGATTCATGTGGTTGGTCATTTAACTGGATAGAGAATCCAGAAGCAAGACTATGCTGAATTTTGCCAACTCTGGTAAATTTTAGAAAGTGAATCTCGTCTAGTACAAGAGAAATTGCAAGCAAAAACCTAAAGTAAATCTTTTCTACTTGATAAACAAATTCCTTTTTTCTTTATCTTCCATTACGCTTATTGGGTTAACTGTTTTATTTGATAGTTGGAAGGGAAGAACTGAGTGGTCGATCAATTTTAGGACCAGTGATCATCACTTCTGAACGTACAAGTTTAATTTGGAGCGGATAAGACATTTCAGATCAAAGATCAAGAACTGTTGACACTGGCCAAAAAAATTTAGCTAGGCTCAGCTATTGATTAAGGGTGACATTTGGCAAGAAATCAGCAAGCAAATGACTATACAAAAATTAATATGGCACTTAACATGTCAGATGTTGTATGATAGTCACATATTCTGCAAGTGGATTTGTTTCAGCAAAGTTTTTAATTTTTATTAACATTAAGAATAAATACAAAAATATTACTTTTTTCATGCTTTGCACATCATGCGAATTTAGTAATTGGAGAACTTTTTAAAGAATCTTTAGTGTTGCAGAATAATATATTAAGATTATTTCATTTTTAACAAGTCTTATTTCATGATAAATAGAAGGTTCTTTATAATAAATACATTCCTTTGCAACGTTCTGGTGGTACATGTTAGAACAATTATCACAGATGCTTCACTATTCTTTATCAATAGCAAAAAGCCCTTGCAGGTAATTATGTAATTTCATAATTTATAAATAAGTGTTATTATTTTTTTGTATTTATTCTAAAATTGAATTTTTACTATAATATATAATTATGTTAAATAATTGATTCTGAATCTTTTAGGACAGCTATAAAAGAACTAAAGACTAGTGCCGTAAATTATGAGGATGGTAGTAATTGTATTTACGGCATATAAAAAGTGGTTGCAATTACCTTTGCAACCACTTTTGCAACCATACTTTTTCCTTTTTTGGATTACGGCACTAGTCTTTAAAAATCTTATGTAATGCAGTAGACTTTTGAAGTTTTGGATTTAAAATTGTTTGGTGTAGAATTTCCCTGATACATCAAAAATACGTCAGTTTATTCTCTTTACCTAATCGGTTGAAAAGAAGGGATCATCGTTAGTCATTATCTCTGAACGACTAATAAATTATGAGATTATAAAAAATCATATTATTATTTTCTGAATTGGATTATTTAGTGGCTATAAAGGTGGATATTTTATGGAGCTTTACAAGAACTATCCAGATCAAGTACTCGGAGAAAATGTTAGATAGGCTGGAAAGACGTTGAGGCATTTGAGAACAGCACATTCTTTCGCTTTCGTTTTGATTAAATGCAAAATAAGCAGAAAACTTCAGTGCAAATATTCTACCAAGATTAGCTATTTTATTGTCTTGGATCTTGGTTTAATGAGAAGTCTATTTCAAAATCAAAAAAAATACCCTTATACTGATGATACTTCAAAGTAATTTGATAGTTGCTACTATATGCTGGAGCCCTTATCTAAAGATGAAAGTAAACTTGCCAAATTAGCATGTAACATTTTTGGAATGTATATCAATCCTGTAAGATTATTCCCAAAACGAATTAATAAATTTTCTTATTCGTAACAGACTAATAGACTTCAGTTAAAAAAAAAAATCTAAAAATCAGATTTTTTATTTTGTAGGAAAGATTTTGAAAATTAGCCAGATTCATGGAAACATGAATAATTAAAAAATCTCAACCTGAAATCTTAGATAATTTTATGATTGAATTAAATACTACAAATGAATCCGTTTTGAATTCTAAAGATAATGCAATGAAAGTAAATTTTTAATAAAATATTTTAAAAATTAAAATTATGACTCGTTTATAATTATCCAAAAGCATGATAAACGGATAGATGCACATCCAGCAAAAAACACAAAGGCAAAATGAAACTAATAGATCAGTTTCCTGACACCAGATTTTATTTAATTTTTGTTATTTGAAAAAGTTTATAGGCAAATATTGAACCTGTTATATACCAATCACCATACAGCCAACTTTTATAATAATCAGTTGACAACTATAAATTGATTGATTGATTGATTAATTAATTAACTAATTAATTATCTTCCTTGTAGCAAAGTGAAAAATAATTACTTGTGAGAAAGAAAAGTGTTTTTTTGATTTCTAAAGAGGTTTATTTAAACATTTTCTTTAAAAAAAAAAAAATAATAATAACAAAATTAACAATAAAATCAAAAAATTTACAAAAGAAAATAAAATAAAATAAAAAACTTATGTGTGTATGTATATGTATATGTGTAAATTCTATATTATATATAATTAACAACCAGTTATTATATATATATATATATATATATATATATATATATAAAAGTAATAAAACAGATTGACAACAACTAACCAAATCATCCATTCAAACAATTGTATTTATTAATATTCTGATCATATGTACTAGCAATAGTTGTTGTTACTCTTGGTTGATTGACTTAATTGACATCTGTAAGAAGTTGTTTTTCTAAAATATATTTACCTTCCTTATAACGTTGAGTTTGTTCGTATGCTCTTTCCTGAAGGAAAAGAAGGAAAAGAAAAGTATTTCAATTAATTCATCATTCATAATTCATCATCATACGAATGTCTCAATAAAAATAAAATAAATTGACTCGTACATATTTCCAACCTAATACTACTTTACAACGAGAGCAAAAAATATCTTTAACTGTATGAAGTCCAGTGGTCATTTGACGATCCTCAGAAGGCCCTTCCTCCACATTAACCCTGTATTGTTGTTGTTAAAGAATTAAACATATTAAACATATAACAATCAATCAAATATATATAAACATATATATATGCATATATTACTTACACCGAGTCAAAGAGATAAGCTCTTCCATGTTGACCTTGAAAGGCCTAAAATTTACAAATTTAAAAAAGTTAATATTGTGATTTGGGTATAAATAATAATCTTATTATTGTTAACCTTTGAAATGATACTATCACTCGTAGAAAGATGAGTTCTACACTTATGACATCCGAAAATGCGAGTACCACTTAAATAAACCAAATACATTAAGCCCATATTTCAAATAATTTATGTGTTTAAAATTATAAATTGTAAAAATTCAAAAGTTCAGGGAAAAAAAAATCAAGTTTTCAAAATTTTCCTTTGTTGTTTTATTTATTTATTTATTTATTTATTTAGTTATTTATTATTTATTTAGCTAATAATGGAGTAATAGAAAGGGGGGGAAGATTGTAAAAAAGAAAAAGCTGCAAGTTTAAAAAATGAATACATACATATGTAATCATCATCAATAATATGATAATAAAGAAGTCACAAAATTCATAGTAATAGTAATAGTCAGTCTCTCGTGATATTTGTGATACGTGCGAGATTTCAAGATAAACAAAATTTCCTACATTTTAAAACAATGATATAACTTTAAACAAATCTTTTGTAGAGTTTCGCTATTATTAAGTGAAATAATAGGTTCTAAAGGCGGCTGGTGTAAAGGGCGATCTACTAACTAGAAACCCAAGAATTATTGCATTCCTGGCTCAGGAAATGAAACAATTTTTTAATTCATGGTACGTGCGTAGCAAAAAATATATTTTGCAATCTTCTTCAGTTTCTGCGGTGATTACAGTCAACATCAGTTTCGATCCACACTGAACATATAACGAATGCCTAGAAGCGATTAATATTTGATAGCAAAAAAAATATTTATGTGATAATGTATCGATAAAGAATCTGAAATTTTCCGTTCAACAGGGTCGATATTAAATGGATTCTGGAATACTCTTATGATATTGGAGATGCAACAATGAATGAAAATTTATAAATCGAATATAAAAATTTCTAAAAAAAAAAAAGTTAAAATATGACTCATTCCGTTTTAGTGAATTCTACTCATGCACCCTACCCCACTTAAATTTAGGGCCGATAACAAAGGTCCTAAATTTTCAGTGGTTAGAAAGTAGAGATGCTGGCTTCGTTATTTTGTAATTTTGGATAAAATATTTAAAACACAAGAAATATTTCAACATGGTTATAAAAAAAATCAGTTCGATTTAAACAATACTTACTCCGCAGCATTCTTTGGCATGTGTTAATCATCGAAATCTAACAATCGATTGAATCGATTTCGGATTACAATCGGATTATCGATCAATTTTTGGTTTTGTTTCAAAAAGGGTCGTTGTCCTGCACCAGGAAGCATCATTTCAGAAGGAACGGATAAAGAATTGTCGAATATTTTTGACTAAAATGGGAAGTTTTAAAAATGCAGATCTTTTTCAAATTTTCTCAAAACATAATTGACGCTGTCCTCGTTTCTATTGAAAAGGTTCCGTATTTGAAACCATCAAACAAAATCTGGGTCCCTCAAAGGTCTTTAGATGTACAAATGCCGTCCTTGATAAAGATATAAATGGAACCCGTAACCTGCTTAAAGTATATTACAAAAACACAAGTGTTAGTGACGTTGTGACACCCTAAGGGAATCTCCGTGTAGGACTTGACTTGTTTGTAAGCAATAGTTCTTTTTTAAAATTTTTGATGACTGAACACCCCAGTGCAATCAAACTTGATATATTAGCGGAGTACTATTAAATATTAATTCACAGTAAAAAAAAAAAAGGAATTTTAAGTATCATATTTATTGTTATTAGTCTTTCTATTTCTTCTTGTTATTCTATCCAAAACATCCAAAAATGATCCCCTATATATATATATATAACAGGAGAATGATGGTATGATTAGGTATGATTAATACTTGATGAGCAAATATATTGTCTTCCTCGCAACCACACACCACAAACATATCAAGCACCGATGTGGCAAGTATATGCATCTTCTAGAAAATAATATTGGTTGATGAGGATGAGTTGGAAATTTAGTCAAGGTGATCCATTGTCGTCGTTGTCCTCGTCGTCGTCGTCGTCGTCGTCGTCGTCACCTTCTCTTTTTAAAAATTGTTTTTGTGGCATGCGTGTGAAAATAATATTTGTTCATTTTCCTCCCAGAAGAGAACAATAGTGAATGGGTGTTAAATCTGATAGTTTAGGAATTGGAAAAAAATTATTACCATTTTACCAGCAGTGTTGAAATTTCGTACAAATTTAGAAACTATCTCAAAAAATTAAAAAAATTGATTGGTGTGTAATGTTACACCCGGACATTCCAGACATTGAATTTTCAACACTGTTTACCAGTATATACCTTGAAGCGTTAAGGCCTTAGTAAAAAATAACAGAAAAAACTGAGGAAGAGGATTTTGAACGAGAAGTGAATAATTAAATAATATAATAATAACAATAAAACAATGATATGCCTTTTTTGTAGAAATTTTTTATTAGTTAATTTTGATATTTCTTTATAAAAAACTAGCTTGATAAAGATCAACCTGGGTTTTTTAATTAAAAAAAAATAAAAAAAAATGAATAAAAATTTCGAAGATAATCCAAAAAAATTACAAAATTTTATTAATGGACAATATGTTAGTCCATTTCAAGTGAACAACAATGTTGAAAAGGAAGTTAAATATATTCCTGTTACTACTCCTTATACAGGAAAAGTTATTGCACATTGTCCAATTTCTACAGCTGAAGATGTTAATGCGGCAGTTGATGCAGCAAAAAAAGCATTTAAGACATGGAGGTATATAAATATAATTTTTACATTATGATAATTGTGATTAACTTACCAAGAGTAATAATCACATATATCTATTCTTTGAAATTATTAGTTCGAGAACTGTTAAAGATCGTATTCAAACATTGATACGTTTTCATAATTTACTAAATGATCATATGGATGAATTAGCAGATCTGATTGTATTAGAACATGGAAAAAACAAAGCAGAAGTAAATAATTAATATATATAAAATACATATATATTAATAACATTAAAATAATAATGGATCATATTTGTTTTTTAGGCAATTGCAAGCATTGCCAAAGGCGCAGAAACTGTGGAATATGCCATTTCATTGCCGCAATTGGTGAATATCAAAAAAAAAAAAAATATTCTTTTAAATTTTTAAATTTTTATAAAACAATGATGTATAAAAAGTTCATATAAATTTATGATATCAGATTCAAGGGAAAATATTGGAGGTTTCTAGAGGAGTCACTTGCAACGACACAAAATTGCCATTAGGAGTTGTTGCTTCAATTGTACCATTCAATTTCCCAATTATGGTTCCAATGTGGACTTTACCAATTGCTATTGCTACAGGTAACACATTAATATTAAAGCCGTCGGAAAAGGTTCCACTTACAATGAATCGGGTAATGGCTTTACTTAAAGAAGCTGGAATACCCGACGGAGTCGTTAATTTAATTAATGGAACTGTTGAAGGTAAAAGAAATTTTTGAATTTTGTATTTTGGTTTTTTCTTTTTGAAAAAAATTTTTTTTTAACAATTTGTGAAAATTTTCTATTAATTAGCTGTGAATGCTATTTGTGAACATCCCGACATAAAAGCAGTTACATTTGTTGGTACTTCGCATGTTGCCAATATTGTATCAGAAAAATGTCATAAATCTGGAAAAAGAGTTCTTGCATTGGGTGCTGCTAAAGTTTGTACACATGTATATTAGAATATATTGTTTTATGAATTTTTATTAATATTTAAATAAATAAATATATGTACATGTGTATTTAGAATCATTTGGTTGCTGCACCTGATTGTGACCTTGAAACAACATCTACTGATGTTGTTAATTCATTTTGTGGATGTGCAGGTAAATCCAAATATGATTTTTTTCTTTTTTTTTTAAAAATAATAAATCTTATTAACACAAACATAAAAATTATTATCACTACTAGGTCAAAGATGTATGGCAGCATCAGTATTATTAATTATAGGTTCAAATCCACAATTATTAGACCGAATTGTATCCAAAGCCAAGGATTTAAAGCCAGGATCCAATCCAAGTGAAATTGGGCCTGTTATTGATCAAGCTTCACTCGATAAAATAACAAGTTACATAAATGATGCAGAATCATCATCATCAGGAGCAGAAATTTTAGTTGATGGTCGTTCTTGGACAACTGGCAAAGCAGGATTCTGGGTGGGACCAACCATTATCTTGCACAAAAATAAACAAGACAAAGCTTTACATGATGAAATCTTTGGGCCAGTTCTAAGTGTTTATCAATGTTCAAGTAAAGAAGAGGCTATTGAAATTGAAAATGCAAATCCTTATGGAAATGCTGCATGTAACAAATGTTTCTTGTATTCATTGTTTATTTCACACACAATAATAATACCTTCCATCCCTATTTTCTCTAAAATTTGTTAAAAAATCCAGTTTTACTAATTATTTGTCTTGATCTTTTAATATTAAGGTATTTACACCTCTTCTGGTGCTACAGCTGAATGGTTTATTAATAGATTTAATGTTGGAATGTGTGGCGTAAATATTGGAGTTCCTGTTCCAAGGTAATAAAAAATTTTCTAATTTATTTTGTAGAAAGGAATATTGTCATAATAATCATAATATAATAAACAATAATATTAATAGAGAGCCATTTTCTTTTGGTGGTATAAATCGATCAAAATTTGGTAATTTCATGGACATTACTGGTGATGGTTGTGTAGAGTTTTTCACTTGGAGACGAAAAGTCACAACAAGATGGGGTCAAACAATCCTTGATTCAAAATTAAAAATGTAAACTTTTATTTATAATAACAATTAACAGCAATAATAATAAAACATTTTATTAAATTTTTAAATAATTATTATAAAAACGAAATATTGGCATGCAACTTAAATTTCTAATTTAAATTTGTGATTGAATTAGAGATTAATTAAAAAAAAGTGCAAAGTACCAACATGCAATTACACTTGCAAGGTTTATTTCTTGATTTGTATATATTGTCAATGGCATTAGAATGTCTCAAGAAAAAAAAGCCATTATACCAATCACTTTATGTTGAATCAGGAAATGTGCCATTTTGCAATCATGCTGCAAATCATGGAAAGAAGTCTGTTGTTGATAATAAAGATTCTGAAATAAATATTTTCTTGATGTTAATTTTGGCCATAATTATCCTAAATTTGCCCAAAAATTATAACAGCTCAAAGATCGACAGACCAGGTGATCGGTGATACCAGTTATCAATATAAAAGATCAATACATGAGGATTGAATAATGATACAAATAATAAATAATAACAAAATTCTAGCACTATCTATTATTTTCCTTCATAATTGCCAAATGAATTTCCATTCAAAATTATATTTTTATTCATATAACAGGTTAATAATATAATACAATCCATTATTTGTCTACTCTGTTTTTTTTTTTAACAATAAAACCATTATCTTTGAATCACTATCTGTGGATCACTTCCTATTAAATGAGCAATAACTTTTTATTCCTTTTAAATCCAAAGGTTCAAGCCATACAATAAATTTCCATCAAACAAAAACAAATTTTTTCCTAACAATCATAACCAATTTGTTAAATTACATCATTATGATAATTGACTGGTATATCTGGTATATTCAAACATACATATTTAATTGAAAATAATTATCCTATAATCAATCTATTTTATTTATGGGGTATTTTTTGACACTAGGGAGCAAAGAGTTTCTAACTAAAATACTAAAATATGATTAAATTAATCATTATTGTACATGGGACACAGTCCAAAAATGTCCATGCGGGCATGTCTGCTCATTTATATTTATATTACTTAAACATCTTGGATGTCCGGGACTAGTAGCACAAGTTAAAGCCTTTACCACTTTTATTAATTCAACATATTATTAATATTAAATTAAACCATCACAATTCAAAAACCTTTGTAAAGCATGTATTGAATAATTAGGAGAGGAAGAAGGGAAGAAAAAATGGCTTCCAAACAAAAAAGATTGAATAATTCAGCATCTGAAGAAATGTTCTATAATTAATTTTAAAATGTGGGCTGGAATTCAATTACAATTGTTTAAATGGTTTCACACAAATGTTAAATAAAGATTGAGAAAATAATGACAAGTGAAATTAATTAATTAATTAATTAATCAACCAGGTAATTAGATAATTCTCTATTAATAATTCAGAGGAGTAGAGGCAGAAAGTTGATATAAAATTATTTTTCACAAATAAGCATTTTCATAAATTAATAAAACACTTTTGTGATTGGAAGTTAAACAGTAAGGTTTTTTAATTGTTTGTTTGGTTATCAGAGTGGTATAGAACTCTGAGGTTTTGTTATTTGTTTTGGTAAAGCAAAGATTTGAATTTTGAATTTTTTGCAATTGTTTTAAGTGTGTCAAGACTTATTGGCAAAAATATCAAGTGTTGACAGTTATTGCTGATTGACCACTTATACAAAGAGCTAACAACTATTGACCAAAGTTGTTATCATATATTGATTGTTGTGTTAAAGCAATTGTTGCAAACATATGACTGACTTCAATTGGCCAAGGAAAAGGAGAAAAGTAAGATAAATAAAAAGGAACTCTATATGAGCATTTGTTGTTTTGTAGAAGGCCATCTTTATTTACTGTTAATTGTACCATAAAGTGTGCTTACAGATTTGCCAAAGCAATAAGCAGGATAGTTTTCTAAAATAAATAAATTAATTGATGAGTGTACAGTCAGACTCCTATATATTCACACACTTCAGGACCATAGTGAAATTT